CTCTGTTCACCCAGCAGTGAATGGGTACCTGGTTGTTAAACGATTCGGCGGGGTCGTATTCCGGGGAAATTAGGGTTAAGGACCTTGCCCGAAACGATACGCGTAATAGTGGCTTTACAAGAATGTAAAACTCTTGTATGTAAACTCTTGTATGTAAACTATAAGATATCTAAATATCGCGTATCTGGAACGAGGAAAAAATAGATATATGATCATGAGTTAAATAAAAAAAATCGAGAAAAAAGGGCTAAGAGAAGAGTTTATCTGACTTGGTTGGGATACGAACAGGGGAACTAAGGTGAAAACTAAGTACCCGAATAATTCAGGGGGATATTTAAAAATATTTGTTAATGTCAGGAAACTAAAGAAATTGCCTGGATTAGGAAGGGAAGTTTTGATGGCAGACTCCAGTCATGGCTTCATATGTAGATATGACATATTAAGATGGGTTGAACTGAACTCTCTCTCTCTCTCTCTCTCTCTCTCTCTCTCTCTCTCTCTCTCTCTCTCTCACTCTCTCTCTCTCTCTCTCTCTCTCTCTCTCTCTCTCTCTCTCTCTCTCTCTCTCTCTCTCTCTCTCTCTCTCTCTCTCTCTCTCTCTCTCTCTCTCTCTCTCCATGCACAGAAAATGCATAAGCTCACGTGATTGGTGGTAAAGACAGGTATCTGCGATTAGACGCCTCTAAGCCTGTACGGTTCAGGTGAATGTTGGAAATATATATGTATATATATATATATATATATATATATATATAGCCCTGTGCATCAAACTCAACATTCACCCAACAAGAGCAGCTGTATTAGATGCAAAGTCCTCAGCGACTACAATGGTTAGAAAAGCAGTTGAAGAATGGGACACACAGTGAACACAATGAATCTATATCCACCACCAAGATAATGTTATTAAAACAAGACTAAAACCAGTGCGCTAAAACAGAAGCAGAAAAGAAACGGGAGAAAAAAAGGAACTCCCACCTTCATTTAAAACTTTGAGTCAAATATCACAGTAACAAGTTTATCGCGAATAACCGAACTTCATTACAGGCTCACTATAGCCCGTGCTACATGGACATTTCGTTCTGAGTATTTAAATCTAAAACAATAACAAGATAATTATAGCACAGCCCCGGTCGTGTGCCAAGTAAGTTCACTACGGACTCACCACAGGCCGTGCTATTTGGAACGTTTTGTTCCAAGTAGCTGAATCTGAAACAGCAAGAGAATCACTAAGACAGTGTTCACATGATAGAGAGTGACACACACGATCACTGAAGGGAGGTTTTCAATCTGTAAATGGTACGTCTACTTGATGTTATAAACTTATTTATTAGGGATTATATTGGACATTAACTTAAGGAGAGAGAGATGGAGTATTGTGATTTAATGTTCAGCCTTACAAGCACATGTAGGTGAATATATCTAGGCGAATACACACACACAAACTTGCTTTCCTTTAGACACATACAATTCAGCATTCAAATGCGGCTTCGGCGGAACTCAACACTAAATGTAACCCAGGCGACCCACTACCTTAATCCTGTTTGCATAATGTATTGAGGATTGACTCCTTCTTGTTTGACAGTAACCAATGATTGGACATTCAGTCCGAGACCTGCTAAGCTCCCCGGTGAAGCAATTTAATTTACATAACTTCTCCGGAAGCTAGGCTGATTGGAAGAGGTAGGAGGAAGAGGGAGAAGATAAGGAGGAGGAATAGGAAGAAGAAGTTTTATTGTAGGAACTTAATTAAAGAATTAAGGAATCGGTTGTAAGGGAAAAAATCAAAAGACTATCACCATTTATTATTAATTTCAGGTTCAAAATCAATATCGAACTATTCGTTGTTGTTTACCCATAAACTTCCTCTTCCACTTATTGACAGATCACTTTGGTTACGCATGAAGTTAGAGAGAGCGCAGGCTGCTTCCATTGGATATAAAGAGTTGTAGCTGCTTCCTTGTAGACAGGGACAAGTTGTTTTCATTGGAGGTAGAATAACAAGTAGCTTCCCTTGGAAATAACAGGAAGCTGGCTTTTGTAGCAACAGAGGCAGCTGATCTCCTGTTACGTACATTTGCAGCTTCCTTTGGATTTATAATGGCTGTTTTCTTTAGAGATATCGAGATCAGACTGCAGCTATAAGAATTATATATACTTAAGGAAAAGGACCAACTGCTTTCTTTATATATAAAAGTGGAAGACTTTGCTTCGTAAAGATAGTTGTGGAAAGCTGCTTCCCATCGAGGCATTGGAAGCAGGGTACTTCCCTCACAGGAACAGAGGGCAGACGTTTTAAATTGGAGATGAAAAGGACGGACTCTGTCTCAAGGAAGTAGAGGGGACAAGCTGCTCTCTTTTAGAATTTTACGATGCATTTCTTTGAAGATAGGGATAGGCTGTATTCTTGATACATCCTTCTTGAATGTCTTTGAGAGTATCGCGGGATAGGACTGGGTTATTCTTGAAGAGAGATGGGATAGTCTGCTTCCAAAGGAATAGATGTGGCAGACAGCTTCCCACTGAGGTAGAGGGGGCTTTCTGTCTCTACGGACCCTTCTGTCTCTAGCTTTCCCCTTGAGACAGAAGGGTTCATCAACTTCCCTTGTCAACTTTCTCCGTATGGCAATAGCGGGAACCCTCTTTAGAAAAGTGTGTTGAGATGACGTTCGCATTGTTCGTTCCATGTGATGTCTAATTCATGCAGATATGTGAATGTCAGGTCGTGTGTAGGTATCGATGATGGTCTTCATATGTAGGACGGTACGGGAAAACAGATATAAGAACAGAAGAGGAAGGGAAATAGAGAGTATGCTAACTGGAACAGATATAAATATAGAAGAAAGTGTAACATCAATAGGAAGATGAAGAAATAGATCATCGGAGTGCTTTCAAGGGACAAATTGAGAAATTAACATTAAGACGAGCAGATAGCAATGTATTTAAATAGTCTGAGAGTAAACAAGACCGTGATGTGCTAAGACAACACAGCCTACATAGCAGCACAATTAAAATGGTGATATGATTGATTTTAGAATAAGAATTGTCAAATATCACAAGACGCCAGTTCCTAATGTCTCCTGAAGTTGACTGTCCTGCTAGGTAATCTACTTCAGAGTGACTAATGAAGTTGGCTGTCCCTTACAGTTCTCAACTTCTGATTGATTCGCAAGTTAACCGTACTCTCCAGTCCTCAATTTCCGAGTGGTTGTTGAAATTAATTGACCGTCCCTGCCAATATTCAACTTCCGAGTGGTTTCTGAATTAATCCGTCCGTTGCAGCCCATGTACCTCCTACAAGCCCGAAAAATAAAACGGGCTTTGGGTGCCTCCAGAGCCACAATCTAGGCCCTCACTCCTCCAGGTTCGTCTTATGCCTTCAGCAAAGAAATGAGCGGTAGTAATTACCCCGCTAGTGTCAACATTGCCATTTTTTAATCTTTCTGGCGAAGAGTGTCTTAATTAACAGAACTTTTCCAGCCGCAATTTGACTTTGGTTATATATTAATTAGCAATTTTTTGGTTTCCAAAATGCTCGAGGTCTCTTGAGCAACATTGAGTAGGTAAAGATTCTGTGGAATTGTTTATCTTGGGCTAGATCTTTATAAAAGATTAGTTATCCTAACTTATCGATGCAACAGAGGCGTATGATGATTAAAATTGAAAAAACATTTAAACAAGCTGTACTTGGTGTTTGTGTGATGGCATTTATGTGTAGGAATATTGGGTGCTGTGTCGTGATGGATGTCATTTATCATTAAAAAAAATTGTATGTCATATCCACAGCTAGAAAGTGTTTCAATCTCGTGCATTATTTACATTTGTGCACGCTGTTATTACAAGGGTAGTATAAATAAATTTATATTCCATCTGTGGGGCAATATATTAATTATTACATAAAAAATTACTAGGATGTTGCTGTTTGTAATCCTTGTCTCCTGTCTATGTGGATTCAAGGGGCTAACATTAGATCGAGTTGGTAAAGTATTTATTGTATTTTGGGGGGTTTATTATGGGGTTAATAAATAATAACTAAGGTTATATTAGAGTATCATTTTACCCTGTTTCAAGTGGAGGAGGGTAATCACTCTGGACTACAGACTTTAAAGTATTATTTGCTGGGAATTGTCTTCCCTGGGGGCCGGGCCTAACCTAACTCCACAATTTTAGGAACTCCTTAAGGTATTGGCCCCTCACAGAGCAAACACTAGTCCACACGTAACACCGTGTTAGTATTTAAAGGGAAGAATAATAAGCCAATTCACTGCACGCTCTGTTGCAACTTATGCTTCAGCAAGCTCTTGAACCTCCCAAGTGAAGACAGGGTTAGTGAGGCTATACATTCTAATGACTACTACCTGGGTGTGCTGGGACGTGTGCTGGGGCTACTGATGCTGCCGGGACACGTGCCAGCATACTGGTGTTAGAAATGCTTGAGTTAGAAGTATTCCTGCTACTCGAGCGTATATTTTGGAATGCTAACACTGCTTGGGAATGTGCTATGAGTGCTGATGCAGGTTGAGTGCATGATAAGACCTTTGCTGCTGTTACGGCATGTGCTAGAAAGGCTCATTTATCAAGAGTTTGTGCTTGAAATGCTAATGCTGCTATGCGTGTCCTAGGAAATGCGGTGCTGGGGCTATCTTGAGATGATTTCGGGGCTTTTTAGTGTCCCCGCGGCCCGGTCCTCGACCAGGCCTCCACCCCCAGGAAGCAGCCCGTGACAGCTGACTAACACCCAGGTACCTATTTTACTGCTAGGTAACAGGGGCATAGGGTGAAAGAAACTCTGCCCATTGTTTCTCGCCGGCGCCCGGGATCGAACCCGGGACCACAGGATCACAAGTCCAGCGTGCTGTTCGCTCGGCCGACCAGCTCCCTTGGCTATTGGGGTTATGGGTTTATAGTTTGTTCTTCTCTGAATTTGTTTAGCTTCTTGATCTTCATCTTCATTAAATATTTCTTACGTCTTCACTTCCATCGTCGATATTTGGAATTATATTTTAGAATTTAATTTCATTTTCTCCATGTCCAACGTCATCTTCGTCCTGTTCCTCCTCTCCTTCAACCCGCATCTTCACTTTCACTATTCTCTGAAATCCTCTGCAGTAATCACTTTCATAGATCAGTTAATGATAAGTAAAGATTCTTTTGTTAGTTTCTCTGTCATAAACTCCCTGAGAATACAACCAAATATTCCCTAAATGAAGACTAAAGACAATTATTTTACCTGTTTAGTTTCTTGGGTGAATCACAACTCGGTTGTGTAATAACGAAATCATAAACCGGAATTTTTATGGGCATTTAGCAGGATCTGCAGCGTTGCGGGGTTGGTGCAATGTTGCCAGTCGGTCGCCTGGGGATAGTTGATCGCCTGGGGAACGTTGATCGCCTAGGGAACGTTGATCGCCTGGGGATAGTTGATCGCCTGGGGGAACATTGATCGCCTAGGGAACGTTGATCGCCTGGGGATAGTTGATCGCCTGGGGGAACATTGCTCGCCTGGGGAAACATTGATCGCCTAGGGAACGTTGATCACCTGGGTAACGTTGTTTCTTTCTTTGTTGTTGTCTTAGAGCTCGTTAGCGTCATCCTCACCTGTATATTACAAAAATAAATAATCACTTTTAATCAGAATCACCAATTTTCATATACTTGTTGATCACTTATGAAGTGACCGGCACATCTGGCATAAAATATTATTCATTAAAGATTTTACCTCTTACGATTTCACGACAGAATAATCTCAGTAGATTACTAGATCACAGCTTGGTAAATGTGGTTGAAGAAATGATATGACCTTAGAATCTGATCGCAGCATACATGTTAGATTGCAACATAGATAGCAATCGCATATAGTGAAATGAGTGAGTGGATCAGATGTGTGGATACAGAGCCACGCGAATCTAAAATCAGTATGATCATTAAAACTACAGTCAATCATTACCATAATGTCCTAATTGGTAATTCTCCTGTGGCTAGTCCTTTGGGCTAGTCCAATTGGGAGGAAATTATTTTTCCTCTTTGTTTCCTTCCTAAAATGGTGTGTTAAAACATTCCACTCTGCTCTTGCAGCTTTGCTCTCACGTCTCTCCGTGAGTTCATTGTTTCCAAATATTGTAATGGTTGACGTCTGCCGCTACTAGCAACCTTGCTATAAGACGCTGGATTAAATTATTGATTAATCAAGTAAATCAGGTAATCATATTACTGGCAGAATCTTCTACTGATATTTCTGGGATGTAAGTCATAGTCACTATTAACCTTGTCACAGATCATTCCTATTATCTCTTTGATTCAGTCAGAGTAACCTGTAGCTGTGACTAAATATTTACATTCCTTTGTGTCACCAATATCACTCTTTCCTCTTCTTATCTTCCCTTTCTTACTATTTATTTATTTATTTATTTATTTATTTATTTATTTATTTATTTATTTATTTATTTATTTATGTATGTATTGCAGGCGATGAGTCACAATAACGTGGCTGAAGTATGTTGACCAGACCACACACTAGAAATTGAAGGGACGACGACGTTTCGGTCCGTCCTGGACCATTCTCAAGTCGATTGTTGTCGACTTGAGAATGGTCCAGGACGGACCGAAACGTCGTCGTCCCTTCAATTTCTAGTGTGTGGTCTGGTCAATATGTATGTATTTATTTATTTATTTATTTATATACAAGAAGGTACATTGGGTTTGTGAGAATACATAGCATAGTATTTACAATCTTGTAAAGTCACTAGTACGCGCAGCGTTTCGGGCAGGTCCTTAATGTAACAGATAATTTAAATAGGTAAATTTTATCAGAATTAATAAAATGATAACAAATACATTGCAAGAGAAAAAATGAGATGAGAGAGATTAGTAAGTATATTAAAGCACATTGGTATATTAAAGCTCTGATTGATTACATTGACAGCTTGACAAGCTACTAGTCTCATACTATGGGAAATATGGCTTGCCTGAAACTGTGTGTGTGTGTGGGCATGTGCTTGCAAGCGTGGGTCTGCGTGGTACTTGTGTTTGTGCGTTCATGTGCGCAATAATCAAATTAAAAAAATCATCTACATGAAAATAAAATAATTTGGCAATTCAATACATCAAAGTGATTTTAATTAGTACTATTAATTAGAGCGTTCGGCATTGCCAGCAGAGCAAATAAAGTTTGCCCTTCTGCTTAGTTGCACAAGGTGTGCTGAGCCGCAATTAGCATGTTAACCTTGAGCTGTCAGACTTCCATCTCGACGCTTTTATCGTCTGTTCTCCCCTCGTCAGTGTGCCCAACCACTTGGACCGATCGGGAGAGCGTCAACCTTACATATTGCAAGGTTAGCGTTCGATCCCCGTGGTCCAGTGGTTGGGGCATCATTTCTTCACCCTTTCTTCATGTTCCAGTTCTTTGTCGTTATATTCCAGCTTGTCCTCGTATCCGAGTTCCTTGTCCTCGTATCCGAGCTCCTTATCCTTGTATCCGAGTTCCTTGTCCTCGTATCCGAGTTCCTTGTCCTCGTATCCAAGCTCCTTCTCCTCGTATCCGAATTCCTTGTCCTCGTATCCGAGTTCCTTGTCCTCGTATCCGAGTTTCTTGTCCTTGTATCCAAGCTCTTTGTCTTCGTATCCGAGCTCCTTGTCCTCGTATCCGAGTTCCTTGTCCTCGTATCCGAGCTCCTTGTCCTCGTATACGAGCTTCTTGTCCTCCGATCCAAGCTCCTTGTCCTCGTATGCGAGCTCCTTGTTCTCGTATCCAAGCTCCTTCTCCTCGTATCCAAGCTTTTTGTCCTCGTATCCAAGCTCCTTGTCATCGTGCTCCATGCTAGTCTTACTGACTTAGCGCTGTCTCCTGATAATTTCCTTGCCTCTCCCATCTACTGTGAAATGTAGGTAGTGTTAAGGTAAAGCGTACTGTGAAGCATGACAGTGTGTGAGGGGAAGCAGTTCTAAGGTTGACAAGTAGTTCGTTCCAGTGAGGAGGAAGCTGAGCAGTATTTCAGGGAAAATGTAGAAGAAACAGTAATGATGGGTAATTGAAACAGTAACGATGGTGAATTTGAACAGTAATGACGAAGAATTGGAACAGAAGTGAAGTAGAAACGGGACAGTCGTGGAGAGGAAACGAGAAAGTAGCGACAAAAACGAAACAGTATTGTAGGAAAAATGGACGAGGGAAAGAAAATAGTAAAGCGGGGGAAATTTGAGTTAATGAATTTTGTTCTGCTTGGAAAATGGAAAAAATGGAGTTGCTGTTTTGGAGGTAAATTACATAATGCTGTTAACTTTTGTGTGTTTGAGGGGGGACGGGTAATTTATGCGTTGTGTTTTCTGGCACCAGAGCAAATGTTTTGTGTTCCTGCAGCTGGGTTGAGTTCGAGTTTATTTGTGTGTGTGTGTGTGTGTGTGTGTGAGAGAGAGAGAGAGAGAGAGAGAGAGAGAGAGAGGGAGAGGGAGAGAGAGAGAGAGGAGAGAGAGAGAGAGAGAGAGAGAGAGAGAGAGAGAGAGAGAGAGAGGAGAGAGAGAGAGAGAGAGAGAGAGAGAGAGAGAGAGAGAGAGGAGAGAGAGAGAGAGAGAGAGAGAGAGAGAGAGAGAGAGAGAGAGAGAGAGAGAGAGAAAGACCGTCTTCTCTCGTTTTCTTTTTGTTTCTTAAAATAGGGTTCTCTCTCTCTTCTGTCTCATTTTCGTCCTCAGTCTTATTCTCTCATATTCTTGTCTGAACTTCTTCATTAATCTCTTTCTCTCATCTTCATTCCTCATCTCTAATTATCTTCCTCTCTGGTCACCATCCTGACATTTCTCCATCTTCCTTCAGCATTTTGTACGCATCATCCTTCTTCATATTCTCCTTATCTTCCTCATTGTCATTCTCATATCGTCTTCCCCTCTTCTTTGCTCTACATTTTACTCAAATCCTTACCCACATCCTTCCTCATATTCCTCTGTTACTCTTTACTGTTATTCCTTCTGCATCTTTCCCTCTCATCTCCCTATTTTCTCCTCCTTCCTAAATCATCCTTAATCTCCCCACCTTCACCTCTTTCCATTATCAACCTTTCTTATCTCTCTGCCTCATCTTTTACTCATATTTCACGTTTATCTCTTTCCTTTAACATACTTCATCTTCCTAATATCCTCTATCATTATCCTACAAAGCCATCTTCACGAGTCGTTCTCTCTCACCTTCCTCTCATCTTCTACACTCATCATTTTCTTTTTACAACTATGCCCATCATCTCTCTTTTCATCTTAATTTGTTTCCTCTCCTTATATTCCACCCTTCACATCCTTTTTTTTCTCTTCTACCCCAATCTCCCAACCTCGTATATCTCTCTCATCTTCCTGCCTCGTCTCCTTCCATCATCTTCCAGTTGCATCTTCCGCCATCATCTTCATATTCTCCCTCGTTCCCCTGTGCTACAAAGAACAAAACAAACTTCCTAGCATAAATAAATTCTTTGTTTACAAAATTAAGTTACGGAATAAAAACATGAATTGCTAAAACTGCTCGCCGTGCGGGCAGCAGGTTTAGGGTGGAGGGGAGAAGGTGGAGGGTGGAGGGTGAGATGAGTGGGAGATGAGTTTGGAGGGTAATGAATGAAGGGTTTAGGATGGCGAGTGTATGGTGGAGGGTGGGAGTTGCGGGCAGTGGGTGTAGGGTGGGGATTTAGGGGTGACGGGTGTAGGATTGAGGATGGAGTATGGTGCTTGGAAGATGAAGTATGGTGCTTCATCTTCCACTCTTGGTGAGAGTGGAAGATGAAGGAAAGAGGCAGGAATGTGTGGAGTAGTAATGTTAAATGGTAGTCACAACATGGAGACTCGACCGACGGGCTGCTGCATCATATTAGAATTATTTGCAGTATTCTTGTTGTGATTTCATAATCAATAATCTTATTATTTTTAGTTTTTTTCCTGAAGGTCACTGTCTACAGAGGCCTCGACGAAAATAGCAAGCCGACGGCTTGTCAATCCCCTCCCCTCCCACCATTATTCCTCAGGATTTGTTCACCTAAATGTTGTACATAGTCTAAATGGATGGGAATACATTGAAAAACAGGTCATAGAAGGCTTGGGTAAGCCGAACCATTTAACATAGCCAGCCTTTATGTGATTACATTCTGGGGTCTGATGTGAGCTCTATCAGCAGAAGGAAAGAGAGAGAGAAAAAAATATTTTGAAGAGAAGGGGAGAGAAGCAGATAAACAATTATTTAGAGGAAAAGGGGAGTGATAAGGCAAGTAAAATTCTAATTTGTGAGGGGTCAAGACCCCTGTTTACTGCTGATCGGATACGTTGTTGATCCCAAATAATCGACCCATCGACCTACACACACACACACGTCCCCTCACCTTCCTTACACACATTTTGATGGGCAAGAGAAGGGACGTCAGAGTTTTTCCTCAGTGTATGGGAAGTAGAGATAAAAGGGGAGGTGGTGGTGGTGACTAATACCAATGAAGACCAACAGGTAGAAATGTGTGGGTCATAAACCGATGCTCAATCTCCGAAAGCATATTTACTCTCGGTAAAAACACATGTATACACCCTCTCCTCCTCCTCCTCCTCCTGTTCGCCTAGCAGTAAATAGGTACCCAGGAGTTAGA